CTCTCTCTCTTTCTTTCTCTTTCAGAAGTAGTAATGTGTTTACTCACACATTACACAAACTCAACTTTATCAAATTTTAAAAATTATTTTTATATCTATGAATAAAATTAGCCATTTTCAGTAATGTGGGTTATAAATATTTCCCTGGTTTTTTGTTGTTTGTTTTGTTTTTTGGCTAATTTTATTTTGTAGCATTCCCCTGTAACTTTCTTTTGTTTTCAGCCAGCAATTGTAGCCTGAAAGAATGCATTCAGTGAACAGGTTAGCAACTCTTTAAGTATTAAAAAAGTGCTTTTTTTCCATTTTGGTATTTTACGGATTGGAAAGGAACAATATTTAAAAACTGAGTCTAAGGGACAAGTTATTTCAATTTTTTTTCTTTTTTCCTTCTTTCTGGGTTCAATTCACCGTCACCATTATAATGTTGCAAAGATTCTATCATAAAATATTAGTAATCTTACTGTGTTGTATATTCTCAAAACTTAACTTCATACAAAGTAAAATTTTGATATAAAGCATGCTATTACTTAAAGCGAAAGTTAGCTTTGTTCCCTCTTTTACATGGTGTAATAGGTGGGACATGCTTTCTTTCTAATCCAACTCCACATGAAAATATTCCCAGGGCATGAGGAATTATTAAATATGCCATTTATATTCTTCGGGCCTCAATTCTTCATCTAGAGAGTGCTGGGTGTCAGGCTGGGTGACTTCTGAAGTCTCTTCCAGCCTTCAGGTTGGAGAACTCCATGACATTCATAATATTTACACAAACTTTCAGCTGCTTGGGAAAAATCTAATTTGATGGAAAGTAAACAATCCCGTAATATTACTTATATTACTTGATGGGTCTTCCTATACTCTGGTGCTTATTTTTGTTGGAAAACCTTTTTTCTTTTTTTTAAATCCTAATTTCTGCTCTTTGGAAAAATTTAAGGGGTGCTTTGAGCATCAGCAAGAGCAGGAGCGCTGGCTTTTTTGGTGCTGCCGTCCAGTTGGGGGGGGGCTCTTCCCTTCCACAGCCGGGTTTGTCAGTGCTCCTGAGCGACAAGCTGGAAGGTGACAGCTCTAATCCAGAGGTCACGGAGAGGCCGATACTCACCCAAACGCAAACTCACTGCCCTGCGCGTGACCCTGGGCGCGGCTGGGCAGCGCGGGCGAGAGGCAGAGGCATTGCGGCGGTGCCCCGGGCTCCCAGGGCCGCAGCGCGCCCGCGCTCCCCAGTGTGCAGAATCGCAGCGCCATTGGCCGCTGCTCCCCAACGCGGGGCGCTGCCGGCGGTAATAGGACACCCTGGTTCCTTGACGTTTCTTGGCAACCAGTTTGGAAATCCATTAAAACCCTTGGATTTAGCCATTGTTCTCTCATTCTTGTTTCTTTCTCGATTTCCTTCCTCCCTCGCTTCCTAGGAGTTCAGGGAGGACTGAATGAATGGCCGTGAAGCTCTAAATTTCCATTTCCACTGTGCGCGTATTATTCTGTGTGTGGATTTAAATTTGTACAGATAGATGCCGCTTTTGCTACTGGTTAGCAGCTCTAATTAAATAAGTGAAAGTGCTCGCAGGAGTCAGAAGCTCCTACACCAGGAACCATAGTGCATACTGTGAAATTTAAATGACCCCGAGGGTGAAAGTTACCCAGAATTACATTTTCGGTTCCTGAAAGATCTATAAGGAGGGTGCTATGGACGGCGGCGAGCGCTGATGCCTGAAGGTGCCACATGTCTGGAAACCCCAGTTTGCCTTTTCAGGGTCACAAATGAGAGCGAGAGCGATCTCTCTTTCGGGCCTGGCGTTTAAACCAACCAGCCAACAAACTTGCAAAGCCTGGGACTGGGCACCGGGGATGCCAGTCGGCTTCAAGTTTCTGCCGAGAGAGGGCGTTAGTCTAAGACGCATACATATTTGTGGAAACGACGCCCAGTAGTCAAATGAAAGACCATTTAAAAACATTTTCAATTTATTTTAATTTGCGGGACTTAAGTGTCAGAATTCTCCTGTCCCCGTTGCACGTTCACACTGCAAATGTCCTCAGTGTATTACCGCGTTCAGAGGGTCCAGTTGCGCTTGGACCTGCCGCGCAGCGCGGCGGGCTCCTGGCCACCGGCTTCTCTGCGGCTGTTCCCATCCTTGTCTCCACTGCGGTTGTGGCTGTGACCAGTGGCAGGACTGGGTCTCCGAGGCAGGACCTTCCCCGGCATTACGGAGCCCAGACCAGAGTCTCGCGCGCGCTTCCGAGCAGACGCGGTTGGATTTCCGAGCGTTCGGGTTGGAGCGGAGCGTGCGCTTGTACCCAGGCGACCCTCGGGGTAACGGTTTGGGGAGAGGGAGGGAGGTCTCTTTGTTTGGTTACCTGGTTTAGCAAACAAAGCCCCGCAGACGCCTTGGAGATGCTTCTCAGGCTTGTTGCCACCTCCAGAAGCCGAACCGTTCGCTCGCCTTTGGGAGCAACAAGTTTCACTTTCCCGCTCGCAGTGCGCGGCGGAAGGTCTGCGCGCCCGGACGCGGGCATCCCCGCAACGCCGCTGCGCGAACGCACGCTGCCCAGAGGGAGGGGTCGGCGCTGGGCTCGGGGAGGAGGGGTGCGACTAACGCCGGGCTAGCAGGGCGTTCCAGGTCCGCCTTCGAGCTGCCTGTACAGGGTCCACGGTCCCTGTTCCCTTACCTTTCGCCAGGGGACAGGGAAGGTAGGGGTGCCCGCCCCGAGTTTGCGTGTCAGGAGGGAACGTGGCCGGCGTGAGAAAGAGGTGAGAGCGAGGTGGACCTACGGATTTTAGCGCTGAAACCACCAATTTCTAGGACCACCCCTTTTCTCTAATCGTGTTGTTTATTTTTGCACGTTGTGTGTGTGCCTGCGAGCATTTCTGTACTTTCGAAAGCATTTTCTTTTTAAAAGCTGGATGCTGGAAAGAGCGCTCCAGTACTGGGCCTGGGGGAGGAGGGGACCCCGGAGGCGATGCGGTGCGGTGGGGGCTCCCGCGGGTGCAGACGTCGGTAGCTGCGGCTTTAAGCAAAAGGCCCAGGGCCGGCGGGGGCT